ACAGAAATAGAAAAAAAAAATGATTTGAGGCTGAGAGAATGAGCCCTGTTCAAAAAAGTGTGGACCTTTAAGAGGTAGCTTTATTTGTTAAATCAGAATTTCAACTCCCATTATATACCCCCCACCACCTTAACATCAACGCTGCAGATCCCACTCCGACCACAAGGCGTCACTCGTTTTCACCATTTTTAAGAATTTTTTTTAGTTGTAGATGGACACAACATCTTTATTTATTTATTGTTATGTGGTACTGAGGATGGAACCCAGGGCTTTGCATGCGCCAGGCGAGCACTCTGCCGCTGAGCCACAACCCCAGCCCCCTTCATCATTTTTTTAAAAAATAGATTGTTTCCCAGTTGGAAGCAGGGGATTGACAGGGAAGGTGATGAAGATGGGGAAATTGTCCCAGGCTCAGTCTGTTTGGGGAAGGAAGTTCAAGGTAGTAGAGGCTCAAGAAGGCTACTTTAGCAGGTATGGCAAGAAGGGAAGAGCAGTGTTTCGGAGGCTGTCAGAGTCTCTCCACATAAAAAGCTTTGCCCATCTGATTTAGTTCTTGCTGGTACTGCTGATGCTCCTTTTCAAACAGCTGGTGCAGGGCAGCTTGACGGACCTGGCAGGGAGGGCAGAAGAGTGTGGTGTTGGCTCTCTGTTTACCAACCTTCCTCATTCTCTCTTCCTGGTTGTTTTCCCATAACTCCTTTTCTTTTGGACCTGGACTTAGCTATAACTCAAAGCTAGACAGTGCTAGAGAGGCTGAACCAATTTTTTCTTCATGGGTGAAGCCCTATGTCCAGCAAATATTTGCTGAGAACATACCACAAATCAGGAATTCTGCTAGGCTCCCAGGATACAAAGATGGTGACATGACAGCTATTGGGACAAGAGGGAGAGAAAGACGTAACAAGAGTAGGTGCCGGGCATTAATGGAGGCAGTTTAGTGTCTCAGTAAGATGAGACAAACAAAGGCTATAATGCACTTTGGAAAAACATTTTTTTTTTCCAGTACAGAGGGTTGAAACCTGGACCTCATATGTGCTAGGCAAGTGCTCTACCACTGAGTCACATCCTCAGCCCTTTTTTTTTTTTTTTAAGAGAGAGTGAGAGAGAGAGGGGGACAGAGAGAGAGAGAGAGAGAATTTTAACATTTATTGATTTTTTCTTAGTTCTCGGTGGACACTACATCTTTGTATGTGGTGCTGAGGATTGAACCCGGGCCGCACACATGCCAGGCGAGCGCGCTACTGCTTGAGCCACATCCCCAGCCCGATCCTCAGCCCTTTTTGTATTTCTATTTTGAGACAGGGTCTCACTAAGTTGCCCAGGCTGACTTGAACTTGCAATCCTCCTRTCTCACTCTCAAGAATTGTTCTGATTACAGGTATGCAACACCACCCAGGTCACTCTGGGACTTTGAAATGTGTTACCTGCAAGCTGGATGCAAAGAATCACTTATTGAAAAAGAACTTTGGCACTTGGAGTTAAACAGTTGATGTTCTGGTGTAATGAGCTGGGTGAGTAATGACAGAGACTAATATTTTGAAATCCCAGCTGGAAAAGGCACAATTCTCCTAGAACTCACCTTCAGTAGTTGTTTGTTGGCCAGTGCCAATTCCTTTACCATGTCATCCTGCATCCTTAGGATGGTGTATGGGTTTCTCCTCTGGCTCAATGTCATCTGCCATGCACAGTGAATATGTGAAGTTTGCCACCTGCCCAAGGTACAGAGGTGGTGGTTGAATGGGTTAAAATTAGGAAGGGAAGGGTTGGGGATGTAGCTCAGCTGGTAGAGTGCTTGCTTAGTATGCACAAGGCCCTGGGTTCAATACCCAGGACCACCACCACCAAAAAAAAAAAAAAAAGGAGTGGAGATTAAAAATCCAATCAGTGAGGCTGCTTCATCACTTAGAACCCTTGTTCCATTGTCAAAAGACTGCATCTGGGCACAGTGGCGCACACTTGTAATCCCAGTGGCTTGGGAGGCTGAGGGAAGAGGACTGCAAGTTCAAAGCCAGCCTCAGCAAAAGTGAGGCACTAAGCAACTCAGTGAGATCCTGTCTGTAAAAAAATAAATATAAAAATAGGGCTGGGATGTGGCTCCGTGGTCCTGTGCCCTGGTTTTAAACCCTGGTACCACCACCCCTCCCCTAAAAAGATTGCAAAAATCCTTAAAATGATAACTACAATTGATTTAGAACCTGGTCCGTATTAAGTAATTATGTTATTTAATCATTACAATAACTTTGAGGCACAGGTATTAATTTTTACATGATATAGGCAAAGAAACTGAAAGTTGTGAGTTGCCCAAGGTCACTTAGTGGCAGATCTGGATCTCAGCTCATTGTCCCTAACTCTACTTTTTCTTTTTTCTTTCCATGGTACATGGGATTGAACACAGACCTCTTGAATGCCAGGCAAGCACTGTAACATTGAGCCACATTCCCAYCTCTTTTTCATTTCATTTCAAGACACTAAGTCGCCCAGATTGGCCTCAAACCTTTGATCCTTCTGCCTCAGCCTCCTTATCAGCTGGGATTACAGGCAAGCACAGCTCCTAGTTTTTCTTTGAATAAAATTTTTCTTTAACAATTAAAAAAAGCTTAGCCCTGACCCAGTACTGCTCAACAAACTTAGAAGTTTCTTATGCATCCTTCCAGGAAATTTTTCTATCAGATACCAACAGGTATATCTTTCTTTCTTTTTTTTTTCTTTCTTCTCCTCCTCCTTTTTTTAAAAAAAAAAATTTAGCTTTTAGTTTTAGGTGGACACGATATCTTTTATTTTTATGTGGTGCTGAGGATTGAACCCAGAGTCTCGTGCATGCTAGGCGAGCGCCCCAGCTCCAGCCCCTCTTCCTCCTTACTTACATTGCTCCTCTTCCTCCTTACTTACATTGCTGGGGAGCTAAACTAGGACCTCAGGCATTCAAGGCAAGCACTCTAGCACTCAGCTAGACATTATACATTTACATACACAGAGCTGCTTAACAATTTGGACTTCTCATATGAACACAGAGATTTGCTTCATTCAGTTTAAAGGCTGTGTTTTTTTTTTTTTTGTATAATTTAACCAAGATTCCAGCTTTATTTTTTATAAACAACTCTGTCATGAACATTCTTGTGTATGTATCTTCTCTTTTTTTTTTTTTTTTTTTTTTTTTTTTGGTACCAGGATTGAACTCAGGGGCACTCAACCACTGAGCCACATCCCCAGCCCATTTTTGTATTTTTATTTAGAGACAGGGTCTCACTGATTTGCTTAGCACCTGTCATTGCAGAAGCTGGCTTTGACTCATGATCCTCCTGTTTCAGCTTCCTGAGCTGCTAGAATTACAGGCCTGTGCCACTGTGCCTGGCTTTACTTTTTATTTTTAAACGGGGTCTAAGCTGCTAAATTGCTGAGGCTGGCCTCAAACTTTGATTTTTCCTGCCTTAGCCTCCCCAGCTACTGGGATTACAGGTGTGCACCACCTGAAAAAGTTTTTTTTTTTTTTGGTACTGGGGATTGAACCCAGTGGCACTTAACCACTGAGCCACATCCCCAGCTCTTTTTTTGTATTTTATTTTAGAGATAGGGTCTTTCTGAGTTTTTAGGGCCTAAGTTGCTGAGGCTGTCTTTTGAACTCACGATCCTCCTGCTTCAACCTCCTGAGACACTGAGATTATAGGTGTGTGCCACTGCACCTGGCCAATATTCTTAAAAATAGGCTTCTTCTATCTTATCCCAGACATTTCGATCAAAATCTCCTGGGAGGAAGACCTGGCATCAGAGTTCTTTTTCCTCCTTTTCCCCTTCTTTGCGGTATTAAGGATCAACCCAAAGGCCTCACACTGAGTTACATCACCAGCCCTTTTTATTTTTTGAGATAGGGTTTTGGTAAATTGCTGAGGCTGGCCTAGAACTTGATACTCCTGCCTCAGACTCCTGGTAGCTGAGATTACAGGCAGGTGCCACCAGGCCTAGGCTTTTCTTCTTTAGGGGTAGTTCTAGGGATTGAACTCAGGGGCACTTGACCACTGAGCCACATCCCCAGCCCTATTTTGTATTTTATTTACAGACGTGATTTCATTGAGTTGCTTAGCGCCTTGCTTTTGCTGAGGCTGGCTTTGAACTTGTGATCTTCCTGCTTCAGCTCCTGAGCTGTTTTCTTTTAATGAGCCCTCAATGAGACAGAATTGGCGGTATGGCTTAGCGACAGGAGTGTAGAAAGGTCAAGCTGAAGGGTAAGGGTAAGAGAAGCAGAGATTACCTGTTGACCATCTTCTTAAATTCTAGGGCCCTTTGAAAGTTCTGCAAGAAAAGGGAAATTCTGTTGATCTGCCTTTAATCTCCAGAACCTCACTAACGGCAAGTATCCTTTTCTTGTACAAGATTCATAGATTTTTTGAGATAGGTAGTAGTCAATTTCCTAGGGGAGGTGGGAAGAAAGCTCTACACTTTTCAGAATAAAAAAAATGCAAGAGTTGATATTTGGCCCCCTATCTCCTCAGTATTGGGGTTTGAACCCAGAAGCACTGAGTTACATCCCTGGGCTTTTTTATTTTTTGTTAAGTTACTGAGACTGGCCTTGAACTTGTGGTTCTCTGCCTTGCCTCCTGAGTTACAGGTGTGTACTACTGCACCTGGCACATTGAATATCTATTGGATGCTAGACATAGTCTCCCACTCCTGTTACTAACTATACCCTAGTCTTAAATCAAGCGCTTTCCCCAATAAATAGCCTACTTCTAAGAAAACTGATCTGCAAACCTCCTCAAGGGAAACTCCTTCAACCCAGTCCCTCCTTCCAATTCTGCATACCTCTTCTACTTTTGTTATCTTTTCCGCAGACATGTCTACAGACTTGCTTGCTTAAGTCTGAGGAGACTGAGCAGGCTCTCCTTTCTGTTTAGTTCAGTCACCAAGGCTGCAGTAGTCATAGCAACATTTAGGCCTCCAACAATGACCCTGGGCCTAGGAGTTGATTGGTCACCTGGCCTGTTGCCCTGGAGACCTGAAGGGACTCCTGGTTCTCCAGCCTTCTATTAGTGACACAGACAAATCTGTGAGCAAGAGCCACCATCCCTATTTCAGGATTTCTCTGTTGATGTCCCAAAGAGTATCCGACCAATTCTCTGGAGGCAAAACCTCATGCCCCATAGCCTGTTAGCAAAGTACAGAAAACATACTGTATGCCCATTTTACCAAAAGACAACAATAAAGAAATGAGTCATATGTTCTGTTTTTTAATGGTTCATTTTATTAAATAACTAATCCATAAAACCATACCAGTACACTGCCTTATTAGGGGAAACCATTCCTCCATATCATCTTGTATCTCGGCATAGATTATTCCAGGTGTCAGAACATTCCCTTTTGTTCATTTATTTATAAAGAGGGTTGAATGAAGGTGGAAAGGCAGATCAGTGCACACGAGGAAAGTTGTGTAAATGTTTCAACACATCCTGGTTTAAATGGAGTGCCAGGGTAAGTTGTTACACATACCATCCACTTCCTCACCCCACCCCTGATCCTGCCCACCTCTTCCACCAAACAACTCCAAGACACTCTAAAACCAAGCAGTTCCCACTCAATTGAGAACAATGGGACAGACATGGAAGATACCTTACTTTTCACCTTTGGGATTAAATAGGTGGACTATGGCCAAAAACAAGTGAAGATTTTTAAGAAAACTTGTGACAGAAATAAGAATGACATCTGAATTCAAACACAGAAGAAAAAAAAATTCTACTGAGGGGAAAATAAAATCTTAGCTGATATTCTGAAAATGCCTGTAAGGAAAAAGTTGGGGAATGACCTTTCAGACATAAGCTCTAAGAAACCTGGACACAGCAGGAGCTTTGGCTAAAACAGCCTGGGCCTGCTGAGCCAGATTTCCTGAGGGCTGCCCAGTAGACACCACAGATGTCTGGCTCAGTCTGCAGTGAGAGTCCTTCAGCTCCATCACAGAGTGCTCTCCAATGTGTTATAGTTATCCTTAAAGCTCTTCAATTCCAGGAAATGCTTGGCACGTTTACTCTTCTGACTGGAGGGAAGGTATGTCACCTGGATAGTAGTTGGGGAGACTTCAGGGGACTGAGTTAGGTCTTTGGCTGCTGACTGGTGCTGTCGCTGAGAGCTCCCAACTCGTGCTTTGACACTAAAGAATACAAAGAGGGGAGGTTATGGACAGAATGAGGATTAGCAGAAGAATACAATTCAGGTCCTTTCCTTTCCCATAAATGTAGCCACAAATGGTCTCTGACCTATCTTATAGTTACTAAAAGCCTATCTGAGAGCTTAGAAATAAATAAACYAGTAAGATGTGGTAGTTCACACCTGTAGTTACATTCAGGAGGCTAACGCAGGATGATCACAAGTGGGACCCACCTTGACAACTTAGCAAGACTCTGTCTCAAAATAAAAAAATTTCAAAAAGGGCTGGGGATGTAGCATAGCAGTAGAGTACCCATGAGTTTGATCTTCAGTGTCATTAAAAAAAAAGGTTTTTTTTTATATGGTGCCGAGGATCAAACCCAGTGCCTCACACATGCTGGGCAAGCTCTCTGCCTCTGGGCCCCAGCCCTATTAAACTTTTAATTTTACTTATTTCACCTAATGTATATATGTAGTGAACATATTCCTAATCTGAAGAAAGTCCCCTGAAAGCTAAATATAAAAAAATAAGAACAGGAAACAGCTATTGGGTACTTGACATGTTAGCATATTACACTTGGTGGTTTATATCTAATTTACTAACATCACCCTCTATTTTTTGTATTGCCTAGTTGTGCAGGTTAAGAAATGGAGGGTCCAATAATTAACCTGTATGAGGTCACAAAGCTATTAAGTGACAGACTGGGTATTTGAACCTAAGGTTGTTGGACTGCAAAGCCTATATTCTTTTTACTATACCCACTGAAGCTTTCTAGAAGCCAAAAGAAAAAATTTTTAAAAAACTGTAATAATATACGTATAAAACTTTTCATTTAACCATTTTAAAACATACTTCAGTAGCTTCAAGTACATTCACAATATTGCACGACTAACCTCCAATTAACACTTTTCATCTTGCAAGTCTATGCTCATTAAACTAGTTTTCATTTCCCCTTTCCCCAATGCCTGGCAACCACCATTCTACTTTCTGACTCTGAATTTGACTTCCTAGGAATCCTATACAAGTGGAATTTGTATTTATCTTTCAGAACTTTTTAAAATAGATTTCCTGCCTAACTCCAAACATTTTTTTCCAGCTTGTTGCTACCTTTTTTTTTTGGTACCAGAGATTGAACCCAGGGGTGCTTAACCACTGAGCTACATCCCCAGCCCTTTTTATATTTTATTTAGAGACAGGGTCTCACTAAGTTGCTTAGGGCATCACTACGTTGCTGAGGCTGGCTTTGAACTTGCAATCTTCCTGCCTCAGCCTCCAGCTGCTGGGATTACAGGCGTGCACCACCACACCTGGTTCTTTTTCCAGCTTTTTTGATCATTTTCATTACTGCTCTAATCAAAAGTTTTCRCTGGCACCTTCTGTCTTTGAGAACAAGGTAGTTCAGGCTGGGTGTGGTAGCACACGCTTCTAACCCCGGCTACTCAGAAGGCTGAGGCAGAAGGATCCCAAGTTTGAGGACCGCTGGGCAACTTGGTGAAAACCTTTCCCAAAATAAAAACAGGGGTATAGCTCAGTGGTAGAGCACCCCTGGGTTCAACTCCTAGTACCAAAAAGAAAATAAAAACAAACAAAAAATCCCAGCATAGCTCATTTTTAGAACGGAGAGAAGGCAGAATAGACATACTCCTTATGTCTTGAGAAAGTCATGCCAAACACAACAGAAAACAGATGTATTCTTTTCATGGATGGTAACTAGTTTTTAATTCTAAATTGGCCTTCTTTTTTTTTCACCAAACACTTTAAGATATGCATAAACAACATAATGAAACTATATTGAGTACATATTTAAAACATTCTCAAACAGAAGTCATGACTCCTCTTCCTTCTCTTAGGTAATATCTTCGTATTTTAGGATATTACTACCAAGTGTAATATCCTGTTAACATCCTAACACGTTAATGAAAGTCATGATTCCCAAACAGAAGTCATGACCCTCGCCAGGGGCAGTGGTGCATGCCTGTAATCCCAGTGGCTTCAGAGGTACAGGCAGGATTCCAAGTTCAAAGTCAGTCTTTGCCACTTAGCTAGGCCCTAAGTGAGACCCTGTCTCAAAATAAAACAAAAAAGGGCTGGGGATGTGATTCAGTGGTTAATCACCCCCGAAGTTCAATCCCTGGTACCAAAACAACAACAACAAAACAAATAAGTAAACAAACAACCCAGAACTGACTCTTTAGTGGTGACCTTTGTTTCACATAAGGTTATAATGCTTTAAGTAGTAATAAAAATGGGTGGCATTTAATGCTTTATTAGGTTCTGCCAATTTTGACATTTAATTGGGCTGGAAAAAAAAGAAAAAGATGCACATAAAGTAAAAAAATTCTCTTATTACTTATGTGGTAGCATCTTCTTTCTAATATGGCAAGAGGCAATTCTAATAGTCTTATGGTATCAAGGATATTCATTCATACTGCTTTATGAAAGCTACTGCATAAATATTAGGAACAGTCCAGCACTTCTAATACTTCTGATATTCTCTAACCGCTCCCTTTGACATGTTCCCCTCCAAACTCACATAGTGGCCAGCTCACTCAGGGCCTCTTGATAGCGCAGGTACTCACTCTGGCCAAACACCTTAGGAAAGAGAAAAGATGAGGATCTCTTAGTCTGGCATATTCCTTTAGATACTTGAAGGAAAAACTGGCCATTCAGCTCACCCCTGTCCCATAGCGGGCTGTCTCGTAGCCATCCAGCAGGGTATCGATAAGGGCCTTCCGCACACCCTTGAAAGGAGTACTAGTGTTTCGAAGATCTAGCAAGTAGGAGCGGAAATTCTTGCCCATTAAGGAACAGGGGTGTCTGCCTTCAGCATGAAATGGGATCTCTGAGGAGATAAAGGAACAATATCTAGTTATTTTTCCAAGTTAGAAATAGGTCTAATGAAATAAGTGATATGAGCTGGATGTAAATCCCATCTTTAAAAAAAAAAAGAATATTTAAAAAAAAATAGACAAATCTGTCTCAAAATAAAAAATACAAAGGGCTGGGGATATAGCTCAGTGGTAAAGCACCTCTGGATTCAATCCTTAAAAAATTTACATATATGACAAGTGGTCATAGAATGGGAAAAAATTTTCAAGAATCATTCTCCTTGGGTTTACTGAAAAAACAGATGTCACTAGTCCTTTGTGGAAAAACAAATTATCATCTTCCAGTTCAGGAAACTAAAGGTCTCAAGAATCTTAAAAGACAAACAAAAAACCCTAGCCTTTTTGGAGAAGAACTAACCTGCCTACATAATTTCCTTATGTAAAAGATTAAGTGGTACTTTCCAAACTCCAGGAAATTCCCACTAGTTGAGATATACAAAAAAGGACAAATCCTAACATATAAAATGGGTTCATTACTCTGTTCCCCAGATGGCTTTTTAGGCTCTAGAATGGAGTCTGATAGCTAGTGTCCTTACCAGAAGCACGGATAGCATCCAGAGCTTTCATCCTATACAGATAGTTGTAGCAACCTGTTAAAACAAAGAGTAGTCTCAGACATAATCCTCAAACTCCAGTAAACTAATTAAACTGTCTTTCTGCATCTGACACATAGCCAAGAACTGGAATAACTGAGGTTTTGTTAGCAGCTATTTACAACAAGTGTAAAGGAATTCTGAACTTGTGGGACTCCTCACTGAAGTGCTCTCCAAGAGCTTGCAACATACTTTGACTTCCCTGAGTTTCCAGTTGTAGCAGTCTTGCATCATCATCTGCAAGGAGCTGAGGTTCATACTTGATATCCTGAACCCTGGATAGTCGAATATCAATCTCCTCTTTCAAGTCCTGAATGTGTAGAGAAGAGAATTCAGAATCACTTACCTTGTACTCTGATTCCCACTAATCTGGAAAAGGGTCAGAGCCTGTGAACAACTAAGATGAAGTAGTGGAAGCGCTCAGGTAGTTACTGAAATTGCCAGATAAGATGTAAGATTTTGGGAAAGAATGGGGTTCTCTAATAACCTCTCCAAACTGTACATATCTAAGCTAGATATTTTATTTTTTTTTAGAGAGAGAGAGAGAGAGAGAGAGAGAGAGAGAGAGAGAGAGAATTTTTAATATTTATTTTTTAGTTCTCGTTGGACACAACATCTTTGTTGGTATGTGGTGCTGAGGATCGAACCCGGGCCGCACACATGCCAGGTGAGTGCACTACCGCTTGAGCCACATCCCCAGCCCTAAGCTAGATATTTTAATTTGCCAGAATTTCTTCATGCTTTACAGCATTATTCCAGATTTTACACTGGGGTCTAAGAATCTTGGTAGGTATTATAAAGACCTTCCTAAATTGGGACAAAGTGGACAACTGGAAGTCATAATCTATTCTAGAAATCCAAGGAGAAGACCTGCATATAATCTATAAACATCTAGGGACTGTCCAACCTGGTGGACCACAGGACTTCTAGAAATCCATGTTAAAACAAAAACATTTAAAAAAAAATGTTCATTTTTGTCACACGGGGATTGAACCTGGCTCTACCACAAGGCTACGCTCCCAGTCCTTTTTATTTTTGAGATAGACCCTATTGCTCAGGCTGGCTTTGAACTACTAATCCTCTCTCAGCTTCCCGAATAGCTGGCGTTACAGGTGTGTGCCACTATACCCAGTTTAATTGCTAAAATTGGTAATTCATGCCAGGCATAGTGGCACACACCTGTAACCCCTGTTATTTGGGAGGCTCAGGCAGGAGGATTTCAAGATCAAGCCTGAGCAATTTAGTGAGACACTGCCTCAAAAACAAAATGAAAAGGGCCGGGAGTGTAGCTTAGTGGTAGAACACTATTCTAGTATGTGGGAGGCTCTGGGTTTGATTCCCAGTACTGGAGGAAAAAAATTGATAATTAACATCCATGCTACAAAAATTTAAAAGGTACTATTATTGTGCTGCCCTTTCAAGATACAAGCAAGCACTATCATCAGTTCCACATCCATCTCACTTAAGAGGGTTGCCAAACCCCCAAGGAAATAATTTTTTTTTTTTTTTGTGGTGCTGGGGGATTGAACCCAGGGCCTTGTGCATTTGAGGCAAGCACTCTACTGAATGAAATAYATCTGCAGCCCCCTTGTTTTCCTTTTGTACTGGGAACTGGACTCAGGTGCATTATCATTAAGCCACATTCCCAACTCTTTTTTTTTTTTTTTGAGACAGTGCTTTGCTAAATTGCTGAGGCTAGCCCCAAACTTGGAATCCATCCCTCTGCCTCACCCTCCCAAATCACTGGGATTACAGGTATATGCCATGGTATAATTTCTATTGTAACCCCACCCCCAACCCTACATACTGGCTGGGATTGAACCCAGAAACTCATTCATATGCTAGGAAGTGCTCTACCACAAGCTACTTCCCTAGCCCTTTGTTGTTTAACTCTACCAGAAACTTCCATTGTGAACTATTATCACAGACCACAGGTAACATATGCACATTTTAATTAATTATAAAGACCAAGATGAACACCTATATCCAATATTCACTTTTTGAAATGGAAATCAATGACTCTGAAGTCCTATATACTCATTCCTAATTGCCACCACCACAAACCTTCACTTACCAGTAATCCTCTCACTCTTCATTGTTTTATCATGTGTTATCCTAAACAAGATGCTTAACTTTGTCTAGTTTTGAGCTTTATACAAATGGAAAAATACTTCTTGAATTCCTCAGCAAACTGTTTTCTTTTGCAGTGCCAGGGATTGAACCCAGGGCCTTGCAAAGGTGAGGTAAGTGCTTTAACACTGAGCTATATCTCTAACCCTACAAGTTTAAAATGAATTTACTGAGGTTGAATTTGTATAAAAAATAAAGAAAATTCACTTAAGTGTATAGACAAATGAATTTGGATAACTTATTGGTGGTGATATGGGGAATTGAACCCAGAGGTGGTTTACCACTGAGCTCCATTTTTAAGTATTTTGAGACAGGGTCTTGCTAAATTGCCCATGTTGGCTGGTGATGCTCTTATCTCCTACTGAGTCACTGGGATTATAGGCATGCCCCACGAGCCTGGCTTGGACGGATGAATTTTTAACAATATACCCATTTACTGGCATCTCAATCAACATTTCCTTATCCCAAAATGTTCTCTAAAGTCACCCTCTCTTCCTTAGTCGGCTGCAGGCAACATGATGTGTTCTTTATGTTCATTCTAGAATTTCATATAAATGGAATCATATGATACATATTCTCTTGTGAATGGCTATTTTTTTTTTTTAAATCTTGTAGTTGTAGATGGACAGAATGCCTTTATTTTTTTTAATGTGGTGCTGAGGATCAAACCCAGTGCCTCAGCATTCTAGGCAAGCACTCTACCACTGAGCCCCAGCCCATGTATGTTTTTGACTTCGCAGATTTTTTTGTGTGCATAGTACTGGGAATTGAACCCAAGGGTGCTCTACCACTGAATGACACCCCCAGTCCTTTTTTGAGACAGTCTTGTGCCAAGTTGCCTAGGCTGACCGTAAACTTGTGATCTTCCTACCTCAGCCTCTGAAGTACCTGGGATTATAGGTATACATCACTGTGCCAGGCTCTTGGCATGGTTTTTAGATTCACTATGTTTGCAACTTTTTTTTTTCTTTAAAGGAGACTTTATTATTTCAACTTTTTTTTCATTAAGAATATTTTGAAGATTCTTTGTGTCCAAATATTTTAGTTTATTTTTAATTTTTAAATCATTCTAGAATATGAACTGGTATCACTAACTTTAACCTGGACTTCTGCTACCATGAACATTTTCATACATGACTTCTAGTACTATGAGCAAAAATTAATTTCCTGGGCTGGGGATGTGGCTCAAGTGGTAGCACGCTCGCCTGGCATGTGTGCGGCCCGGGTTCGATCCTCAGCACCACATACAAACAAAGATGTTGTG